AAAAGAAGAAGAAAAAAAAAAAAGAGTGAACAGACAATGTGTTCCAGAAAACAAGAAAATGATTCAGGACAATTTGTTTACTATCTAAGCAGGTCCCTCAAGAACAAAGTATAAGGAACCAATAAAATGGAGAATATGGTTGGAAGAGGCCTAGAAATAGAAAGAGCTAGGTTGCAAAAGGATATGGATCTGAGAGAGTGAAGGTGTTGTGCTCAGGCAATAACTGAGGTCACCTGCAGGTAAGAAAAAGGGCTCTTTGACTTAGAAGAATATGTAAAAAAACAAAAAAAAAAGAATGCTTTTTGGCATAGTTTACTGTAGAATTAGTCACATAAATTATTTCCTCTGATAAAAATTCATATTTAAAAGTATGTATGTATCATTGGCTTTTACAAAATGAATATATCAAGTAAACTAGTTGTACTTTGGAATAATAATGAACCACTGTTTCTTGATAAATGCATTCGCAAAGCTAAAACTGATAGAATTTGCTTTTACATGGAAATTATTGGAGGTTGGTATATCATCTTATTAAGAGACAGCTGAGTCATAACATGTAGACGGTAGAAGAGGGTAAAGGGGGTCAGATATATGGTGACAGAAGGAGACTTGACTTTGGATGGTGAACACACAATGCAATATGTAGATTATGTGTTATAGATATGTATACTTGGAACTTATATAATCTTATTAACCAATGTCATCCCAATAAATTTAATAAAATTTAAAACAAAGAAAAAGATACTAAAATTGCACTGTTGGACAAAGACAGCTCAGTGCACCAGAGGACAAGGGAGAGAAAGTAATGAATCCATAGAAGGTTGCTATTTGCAGAAGGGTAAAAGGAATTTGCCAGTATTTGACAGAGAATAAAGTGCTTCCTTCACTCACACATGAAGGGAAGGTTAGCACCACAGAGGAGCCTGTCTCTTCACATTTGTACAAGCCTAAGTAAATATACCTCAAATATGATATTTTATTTTTATTATCATTGTTATCAAAGCATCAGTGTTGGTAGAAATAGAGCTGTTCAATTAAGTATATCTGAATAGTGTTGACTATGTGCCAACATATATAATTTTTGATTTCTCAAAATGAAAAGCAAGCACATCATTGATATCTGATGATCCGGTGAATATTGAAACCAAAGATAAAAAAATCACAACACACCAAGATACAACCAAAAAAGCTTCACGAATATGTGAAAATCTCAATTTGACTGTAAATTGTTTGCAAAAGAATGACCAACATCAAATCTGTTGGTACAGAGAAATATACAACAGCTATGAGGATTCCATACACAGTTATCATGGTAGTTAGCAAATCAAAGTTAGAAGATTAACCAAAAGAGAGATATAGGGTTAATGCTAAAAAAGTAAAAAGATAAAGAGCTATAAGTTCC